TGCCACAAATTCCCCCAGCTGTGAGCCTTCCAACCTTCTAAGTATTCCTTTATATGTGGTTCAGAGTTCTGGGACCATCCCCTGAGCCTGCTTGTTCGGGTATTCTGTGTTGTTGTTGTTGGCGGAGCTCTCTGCTATACATCCACCCGATCCGCCATCTTGTTTGTTCTCCCCCAAAATTATATCTTGAATGTGACAAATTTTAGAGAAATCCCATCCCAACCCACCTTGCCTTCTGTGATGATTGACAGCTTTGAATATATAATCCAGAGTAGCCTGTCTTCCTTTTCCCACACAAACCCATTAGTAACAGATGGTTATTTTTTCTTCTGTTGGATTGAATGTCACAGTTAGAGGTACCTATGTCACTGTGGTCAATGGCAAATAGCTGAGATAACATATAGATGATAGAGGAAGAATCAAGAAGAAAGATGAAGAAAATTGAAAGTAAAATGAATCAGAAAAGGCGTTCCCAGGGCCTACCTCAGGTAGAAGCAACATCCTGTCTCTTTTCCTCCATCATCAGCATGTCCTGCTTCTCAAACATTTCTCATGTCTATCTACCTATGAGCCTTCCTGATGAGTATGTGATAGCCCAGGCTCACCTTTAACTCCTTACTAATGGTTTTAAAAGGTTTAGTATTGGCAAATGTGTACTTTTAACAGAAAATTTAAAGATAATTCATGTGACCCTTTTGTACTACACCGCAATACAAAGATTTACCTGTAGTATGTGTCACACTAAATAAAGCTCAGGTAATCATGGCCAAGGGAAATCTTGTTCCGTAACATGCGTATATTTAAATATATATTTAATTATGCTGATATATTTTAAACATATAAAATATAAATGTATTAAAATAATTCAAACATAAAATCTACAATACAAAATCTAATATCTGGTGTAGCACTGCAGGATCTGGGCTACAAAGTCTATTTGAATCTCAAGGTTGGCAGTTCAAATTCACCAGCTGCTTCTCAGACACCCTATACAGGGTCACTATGGCTCAGAACCGACTCGATGGCACTTAATAATAACAACCACAATCCTGGTTTCTTCTGCTTTAATAGTGGCTAGTATTAATGATCTTCATTTTCCAACCATTTTAGGAAAGCCTGATGCTGGGTGCAGTGGGAGCTTATGGCTGGAGTGGAACTGTTGTCCAGCAGTCTTCTCATAGACAATATATATTTCCAAAACAAGCTTTTGAACAAATTCTGCAAGACAGAAACCACAGTTCATATTTAGGTAAGGCATAGAAGCATTTGACTCAGCAAATTTAAAGTCATGAAAACTTCGCAGAATTGATTTTTTGTGTTGACTTTTTCTACAGAGGGCTTCCTTACAGCATTCTCTTCCTTTAAATCAGCTCCATATTGAATCTCAGAGTCAGTTCAGCAAAGCCCTTAAACTACTATCTAATTGTATTTATCATACATAGTCGTGCTGCCTCTTTGTGAAATGAGCCTTAGCCCATAGCTGTTTCTATGAACACTGTATTATGTTCCCTAATCACTTCTGGCTGTTCAAGTGGCTGTTATTCCCAGAGACATGACTGTGCCTCTTCAGAGTGGAAATTGTTTCTAAAAGCCAGTGCAGTCAGAGGTAGTGATGGTGGTGGTTGTATGGCATTGAGTTGCTTTCAACTCATAGCAAGCCTATGTAGGGTTTCTTAGACTATAAATCTTTATGGGAGCAGAAAGTGTCATCTTTCTCCTGTGGAGCAACTGGCAGATTTGAATTGCTGACCTTGCTTAGAAGCCAAATTTGTAAACCAGTGCTCCTAGCAATAGGTAGTCTTATATGGTTTTAGAGTTCTTATTCTTTTTGTTCCTAAAATAATAGCAGATGCTGCTTTTGAATTCCCACTATGGAATTCCTAAGCTGGTTGTTCTATCTGCAATTACACAAATATCTAATCCTCTCACCAACCCACTGAGAGAAGTATTATTATCCTCATTTTACCTTTTGTTGTTGTTGTTATGTGCTGTGGAGTCGGTTCCAACTCATAGTGACCCTGCACAGAGTTTCCGAGGCTGTTAATCTTTATGGGAGCAGAACGCCTCATCTTTGTCCCACGGAGCAGCTGGTAGTTCTGAACTGCTGACCTTGCGGTTCGCAGCCCGATTCGTAACCACTACACTACCAGAGCTCCTTTTAGAGACAGGTTAAATAATGTGCCCAAAGTCAAACAACCTAATAGGTGGCAGATGCAGAATTCGAACCTGGGACTGTCTGCCTCCAAAGCCATGTCGTTTCCATTAGGCAACATTACTTTTGCATCCATTTATTTATTCATTTAAGAAATACTTGTTGAGTGATAGCTATGTGTCAGGGTTTTTGTTCATGGATTGCCTGATGGAGACAACCCAGAGTCTAGTGCCTGCTTTAATGGTAGAGGTCCCATCACTGCAGGGCAGCACTACAGGCCATAGAGAAATAGGAGTTACTCCTAGCATCTTAAAATGCCCTCAATGATTTATTCAGGAGCAGTAGGAGCTATGCATCACACCTAACAGAAAAGGGCCCGTGATCATCTGCTACTAAATGTTCAAGCCTTGCTAGCTGAAATATTTAATAGTACTTGTTTTCTGACTCCTTCCCTCTTAGGTTACTCTGTGGCTGTGATTTCTACTGGAAAAAACCTCCACTTTGTTGCTGGTGCTCCTCGGGCAAATTATACCGGTCAGATAGTGCTATACCGTGTGAATGAGAGTGGAAATGTCACAATTATTCAGCCTCACAGAGGTGACCAGGTAAATCCCATTGCTTAGCAGGTGACATTAATTTTATAGACAACTGGGGCCGCTGACAAGTGAAGGGTGGGTAGAAATGAAAACTGACATTAATTGAGTGCCTATTCTATGGCTGGTACCACACTTTGAATTGATTTGCATATTCTTTAAATCTTCACTAGAATACTGAGGAGCTCTATCATCCCTTTCTGACAGATTACTGAGGGTTTAGCTAACTTTCAAAGGTAATAGAACTTTAAATCTTTGAGCTGTCATGAAAATCCTACCTGGCCTTAAAACCTATGCTGTTTTGGCATATTCTACTCCATATTTTTTATTCCTCACATTAACAATTGTTGTTAGGTGCCAATGAGTCGGTACCAACTCATATCGACCCTATGCACAACAGAACAAAACACTGCCCAATCCTGGGCCAACCTCACTAATATTGCCACACTTGAGTCCATCAATGCTGCAACTTTGCTAATCCATCTTTCTGGGGGTCTATATGAGCATTATTAAGTCATGATGGCAGGCACCTAGGCAACTCACACTATGGACTCAGGGGTCTGTAGGAGAAATAAAGAAAAAAGGGAGAAGCATAGCATTATACTGGAGTCCTGGTGTGGCGCTGTGAGTTAATGTGCCAGACTGCAAAGCCGTTTAAACTGCAAGCTCAGCAGTTCAAGCTCACCAGCTGCTCATCAGAAACCCTATACAGGGTCGTTATGGGTCAGAAATGACTCGACGGCACTTAACAACAACAACAACATAGCATTATACTGAGTTACCATATCCTTAGATATTGATTATGTTAGACACATAATCAGGAAAGGACATACTGTTTGGTAAAGTGGGGGGTCAGTGAAAATAAGGGAAACTTTCAATGAGATCAGTTGATACTTGGATACAGTAGCCTCAACGATGGACTCAGTCATATCACTGATCATGAAGATGGTAAGGAATTGGCCAATGCTTTGTTCTGTTATACACAATGTCATCATGAACTGAAACAATGGCAGCTAACAACAACAACCACTTCTGAGCCTGCCAATCTGTCCTGTTGTGTTTGATCTTTCTAAAATCAAGCAACTTGCTCCTCTACAATTTTCAACCAATGTATGTTTGATTATCAGACCCAATGATGATTTCTAGTTATACTCCTCCTAGTGTGACGCTTCCCACCTGAATTTAGAGATCATCTGAAGAACAGATTTGATACATTAAACACTAAAGACCAAAGACCAGAAGAGTTGTGGGATGACATCAAGAACA